TACCTTTTGGGACCACAACGCACAAAAGCCAACAAGTTCACATGGAGGATCCCACAACCGCAACTAAATGACTAAACAAATTGCCATTGTCGAAATAAAATAACCTCAGTCGCTGTCGTTTAGTACAAACAAAGCAACACAGCTGGCACCGAGCCTTACTTTTGCCTTCACAATTAGAATTTGAGGTCCCCATAATCACTATTTCGCAATTCCTTCTCTACTATTGTCATGCCTAGTTTATCTCTCCCCCCAAGCCTTAGTTTTGCTCTCGGAGCCATAATTGTGCCCTTGAAGCCCTAATTGTCCCCTCGGAGCCCTAATTTTGCCATCCAATGGAGCCATGGAGAGAATATGACAAACCTGAATGACTGAGGGTAAGAGACGACACGCGAGCGGCAGCCAACGAAGACGACGACGGCGACGGCGACGAAGCACAGCGACGGCGAAGGGAACTTCCTTCGCCTGAACGATGACTAGACGAGCCCTAATTTGGTCTTCTTCGTGCATGTCGTTCAATTATCAAGGGGGAAACGACGTCACATTCTTCTCCCAAGCCATGTAGGCGATGCGACGTCGTGTTTGAAGTCCACGTGGACTTTATTTTTTTAAAAATTTGCCAAGTCATTTACAAGATTAAATTAAAAATGCCACGTATACATTTTGGCCGGAATATCTCGCCGTTGGCACTTAAGTGATCGTTTTTCCTCCGATTTGGCACTTAAGTGAGCCGACGAAAACTTTTGGCACTAAAGTGAGCGCTGTACACAAGTTTTGGCACTTCTGCTGTTTTTTTCCCTAAATATTGTGTACGTGAATACCTATTGTGACGTGTATGAATGCTTTGATCTTTTCAAGTTATTTTTTAATTCTCGCACCCATTCTCTCTCCATATTGGGTGTTCATGCAGGTAATGTTTAATCCATATTACACTTTGGCATCCTATGACGAACACGTTAGCTGAATTTGGCAGGATTTTATATTGGAGAGACTTGATTAGTCATTTTGTGCTAGCAAAAGGACTTGATTATAAAAACTAAAATTGTAGAAACTTGGTTAGAAAAGCAATGAAAGTAAATGAACGAAAAGAAACATCGTTGTGAGGCAATGAAAACTTACCATTTTATCGGATGAAAAAAATATGTAAATAAATATCAAACTTGTAAGGCCCTTATGCTCTATATATTAGGAAAAATAACATAAATGATCACTAAACCTTAGCTTAAATTACAATACATTTCCTGAAATTTTAATTTTGTAAATATAGTCCATGACCAATTTGTAAATGTTCAATGTATTCCTCCCATTCGCTCAAATAATAATAAGACGTCATTTGATACGATAGATTATTATATGTTGAGTTGGATAGTTAAAAATGATTATGTCAACGTGCTTATATTTTTATTCATCTACTTTATACATTCAAAAAAATTAAGGCGTTAACATATCCATCGGTTTCTATGATGCATATTATTATATTATGATTTGAGATGAATATCTTATTAGGGGAATCCTCGTGTATTTTTTTTTTTCGATTATCCACCATTCAAACTCGACATATTAGGAGCCATATAAGTAAACTCAGTTAACTTGAATTAAAGAAAGAGTGATATAAATAGGTTAAAGATTAAATTGAATATTTTTATATAATTAAAATATTATATTGAATAAATTAAAAATTTAAATATTATTTGTGCGATTTCTTTCTGACGTTAGGTCGAGAATTGCGATTGCAACCCCCGTTGTCTTTTTCAACATCGTCTAGTCTGAGAGGACGGTTGAAAAAGTCACATGCTTTGTAAAAGTAGCTAAGGAAAGCCTATGGCTTCCAAGACAGAAAAGGCTAAGCATAGGACAAAATTGCTGTCATATTAATGCGTGGCTTTGTACTCGTACATATCCATTCTGGAATTTTTTTTTCTTTTGCCTTGGGAGTTCTTGGATCAATGTAAATGTAAATCGATTAAATGTTTATTTACTTTATTTTTCTACATTTATATTGCATTATAAAGGAAATCAATATTGGTAGGTCGCTACTTCAAACATTAACGGTCAGTCTTATTATTGAATTCATATGTCAAAGTATTGCGCCAATTCGAAGACACTTACTTGGGTGTACATAAAATACAAATAGATCGCGAAGCGAAGTCAGACTAAAGAGTTTACAACAAGCTCGTTGCAGAATAAGTCGCCGCAATTCGAACAAATGGTAATGACCCTACTTTGCCACTCGAACATTGCTATGGTTGTTGTGATCCATTGTTGTATCCTCTTCTATTTCCTTGTGGTGGGGTTGATCGGCATCAATTATTGATTATAGGACGCGCCTTAAATTAAGTTCATCTTACTATAGGGCATTACCTGGAAAAGAAATTTGGACGTCTATTTTAGTATAAGCATGTGCAAATTAAAAAGGGGGAATTACGCAAACGGCATCTTTGAGTGAACAATTGTACCATTTCACGTTACTATCAACGGAAGAATGAGTCCGAAACGAAATTTCCAAGTTGATTGGTGCAAGAAAGCGAGCCCTGGTCGTTGTCTTCTGATGTATACGAAATTATCAAAGTCAATGTCAAATGAATATGAGGGAAGGGATTATTCCACCATCTTTGACAACTCTTAGGGCTGAAGTAGAACCAACAGAAAAATGATCTGAAGTCGTCCATACCCACTCGGTTGCCACTGTTGAAATAGTTTGTTATCGTAAAAGAGGCAACTCTTGATTAATAGAAGATGTGACTCTTCATTATGAAAAGAGGTGACTCTTCGTCCTAAAAAGAAGTTATCGGTGATTATGAACGGAAGTTATTCTTAACATGAAAAGTGGTGATAGTTAAGGATAATGTACCTATTCCCAAGAAGTGTGTTGATTGGTTGTCTGTGAATAGATATCAAATCGCACATTATTTATATAACCACTACCGTTCATAACTCCACCTTGTTCAGAACTCTTTTTACACACACAACTTTAACAACACATTTAAAGTGAAAATTCAAGAGAGAAAATTGAGTAATTACTGAACTCGTTTCTCTGCGGCTTTGTTATATATCTTAGAGGTATGTTTGTTCTAAACCCGACAGCAACAATAGTGGGGGCAAATAATACCTTAAGGACAGTGATTGTCATCATGCATCAAAGCATCAAGGATCTATTACTATTTTTCTATCTTTATCAGTAATCAAATTTCCCCAACATCCACGTCTAGGGCTAAGACCACCTGAAATGCAATGATCACACCCTCAAAAGTCCTCAAATGCCTTTGGGCAAATGTCAAGGCGATTGGCAAGTTTTTTTGAAGAGCTTTTGGGAGATGCATTGCATTTCCAAAGGCTCTTTGCAAAGGCTCTTAGCCAAATGCAGGTGCTATCAATTTTGGGCTTTGAGTATCTTTGAAATGCTAATACATTTTTTTTCTTTCAATTTTCCCCTTGCTAAACTTTTGAAATTTCAAATTTACTCTGCTGCGAGGTCAGATCTGGTGTCTTTGTCACCATATCTGCCACCGGCGCTTGAGGTGATGACCTCAAGCAAGGCCTGCCTGGGGTCGGCTTGGGGTGGCCATGGTTGTGCTACCCCAGGTGGTCCTCATCGTGCTAATCTTGGCTCGCTGATGTCCGGCCATCATACCTTTTGTTGTTGAGCTTCAAGTTTTTTTAAATTGAAAAATATAGTTAATACCCTTTACAAATGTAGTTTTTCCCAAACAATATTTAAACCAAAGTTTCTTCCAAATGCACTTTTTAATTACATATCACCAAATACTATTTGTATTTCGAAAAAATCCTTTTAACCTAAAGTCTTTTGGATTTTCCCAAAGACGCTCGCCAAATGTCCAACCAAATGCAGCCTAAATCTCTAGCTTGAACTCATATTATATGATTTCCTCGTTAAGAAAACCGCGACAAGAAAGGAGAAGTAAATTTCTTTGAAAGCTCTGGTCTCTAAATACACTGTTATCTCTCCTACCTTATGAAATATTACAAAGAGATCATTCATCCTAAAATTCAGAAAATGAGCACTGAATAGAAAATTGGTCAATACCATTCGGGCTCCACAAAATTTTCCAAACCAGTGAACAATATTGGACCTCACGAATTGCTAGTCAAGTTTGCTAAGGCTAACTTTACCACTTTATTAGATTATCAGTCGATCTTGAGTTGCGGTATATCAATTTTAAAATAGCAAAATTTGATCGGCTAATCATATAATCTAATTTCATTTTGATGGAGAGTGCCATAATAGCTCTGGCCTCTATGGTAGAAATTATTCGGTAAACTTAGTACATGTACTGAACTGAATCTTGACCGTCAGATTTAGTGGGTCGCAAGTGATTTACAATTTTTTCTTTGGCCTTTTCCATTTTCAGGGGTAACCAGTCTTATGATGATTTTTCCTTTCTTTTGTTGCGTTGTCAGTGGACCTCAGTACCACCAAAAGATGCAAAAGTAAGCAGTACAGTCAACGGAATGCAGTACAGAGGCGCTTGTATCATCTGTTTTGAACGTACTTGCAGAGTAATTTGGTGTCTCATAACTTGTCTAGTTAATGGAAGTTAAGCGGAAAAGCACAATCAATTAGACAGTGAGAGCATACACACATTTTTACGACTCGATCTCGTGTGATGCATCGCGTGATCAGCTAGATCATGAAGATTATACTCATCTTCCTTTGGAATTGAAGACCATCCAGCGAGTCATTCCAGGTTTTTCAATACGTTCATCACCATTTCCGATGGTTCGAATGAACATTATCATAAGCTGAAGGAGTCCAACCAGGTTGAAATGAAGAGGGGATGAATAGTCTGGATGACCCTGATAAAACTTCATGATGCAGCTGAATTCACTTCCTTGGCCTAATCTTAGGGAAATTAGTATATGCTCCCGTGATTCACGTTATGGGCCCAATGGCCACGCTCATGATCAGCCTCAAGTGCATTTCACTTTCGAGTTTCAAGGAAGGGCCACACTCATTATTTCATTCTCATTGATCAAACGAGACATTAGGGTGTGAATTACATCAACAAGCTTATGGGAGTAAAAAAGGTTGTTTCATTCACCGCAGAGCAGACATGTCAAAGACCTAAACGGTACAGCAGAACCTTACAGGGACTAACTCCTGACAGACAAACACCACATCATTAGGTTTGACCTCGTGCCGAAGTAAGACATTGTCAAAATATTGCTAGTCTGTCGGATCTTGGACATCAAAGAATGACTCACACAACATACATCCTAATACCCAGTATGGCTCCATTGCTAGTCTGTCGGATCTTGGACATCAAAGAATGACTCATACAACACACATCCTAATACCCAGTATGGCTCCATCTCATGTCGCTTCCTAGTGAGCTCGTAAGCTCCTCCATTAGATGTTTTGCATCTTGGAACTGGCATGAGCTAAATATTGCAAGTAGCATCACATTGCTTCACACAAGTGAATCTGAACGTCGTCGACCTCACCGGTGCGGCCTCTTCTTTCCTACCAGAGAGCAGAACACATGGGATCCAAATGATGCTTCATGATGAGTTCGTGCTACACCATTCTTCGACATGGACCAGCCAGATCAATGGGTGCTTGAGACCATGAACAGGTGAACTTAACAGGCATCTCCATCTGCAAAAATTAAGCTGCTCAGGCTGCCAAACAAGGTGATTAGTCAGATATAGCTAATTGCACTATGTGTCATGACTAACTGGTTGCACATCGAAACTCAATCCACATGTGCAGCCACAAGTTGGCGAGGAAACAGACTTTGAGGCATTCAATACGTGAAAAGGATATCACAATTAGTCAATCCAGCTGAAAATATGCTTTCCCCGTCAGATTTACTATGATCAAGACAATAAGTAATTGCCAACAACTTTACCATGGCACTGTAAAACTAGAAAGCTATCTTAGAACATCATTCATGAACAACCACAGCATGTTTCCTCCACGTTTTCCCAGGGATGGACAAATTTTACTGAACCTTAGGTATATTTCCTGTTCCCAATCCCAAAGTCCAATATTGCGGAAGATCCTATGACCTTCGTGTGCCCTCAGTGAATGACCCAAAGCCTATGAACCATTTACTGGAGCAGATATAGTTTAGTTCTACTGTCTCCGGAAACAAAAACCAGCTCCAATAATTTCCATTGAAGCTTGACACTACAAAAGGTGTCTCCATGTTCATCAATTCTTTGCTACACCTTTTCCTAATATTGCTATCACACTTTATCTTACTTTCTACTATTTTTCCATTATGAAGGATCTGAAAGTTTATTTTTTCCCTCATACTACTTAATGTGACTCTCAAGTATTGACACAACTGCCAAACAGGGGATAATTGAAGGTATTTTTATTTTGATCCCATCTTTAGAATTGTCGAATTGCATCTGAACTCTAGTCTATTACCATTCTCTTGTTTAATAGCACTCAATACAAAATGAATGTTAATTACAGGATGAAGGTGACAAACACTTCACAGTAACAGGATGACACAGTTGCTTCCAGGTATTTGTCCCCCCCCCAACACTTTACCAAATGCACACGCTATGCCCAATAAGCTACAAGATAGTGAAAACAATACCAAATAGATGTGGGGCTAACTTCTTTAAGCAGACTTACGTTAGCAAAGAAAGTGCCATGCTGATGGGAAAACAGAGAAAAGCAAGAACAATGACCATCATTGCAAAGGCGACTAGTAGTTTGGTCACTCACTACAAATATCTACCTGGATCTAGCTATTAGCGCTATATCCAAATGAATCTGCTTGCTGCAATCATGTTTACCATCGATCTCGCTGCGGGTTTGAAACAGGTCAAATCCACAATGGATTGGCATTTGCAGATTGCAAGGTTTCGGTTGCCACCAACCAGCTATACCAATTGGACCCATTCGATAAGATTGAAAACCTAGAAGTGAATTTTTACACTTATTTAAAGTGCTGAACACTACATGTAAGTGTTAAACTCAAATCCGTTTGATGTTTTTGAAGCTGATAAACTGCCTTGGGCAGTATATTTGAGTGTCTATGCCTCAGGCATAACTACTACTCTTCAGACAGTTGAGAACCAACAGTAAATTACACGAGATAAAATGCTTACCTCATAAGTTGAATTTTTCATCCTCGTCCTTCTTATCTGTCTGAGATTTGTCTTTCTCTAAGTATTCCTCTTCAATTGTGTCCTTCAGGATGAAAAGCCTTTGAATAACGACAGGTTCAGTCAATTGCTTTGCTTCCCTAATTTCAGTATCCTCCTTATTAAGATGGTACACATCAAGTATGATTTTAATCCACTTATGAAGTTCGTCTGGGGTGCTGCTCAAGAGATCCAGGCAGAGAAAAGTCAAAATTGCCACTAACAAGCTTGTAGATGATACTCTCATATGAAGGACCTGCTTGCTTACGTGTATAAAGCTTTTGGGTCCTTGGCTTCCCTTTCATCACCTGGGGAAAAAGCTGTTGCCAGTGCTGAGAACCGCTCTTCAGGGTCTGTAATATTCAGCAGATACTTAAGTAACCTTATCTCTTTGGGCGCAATACTCCTAAGACTGCTTTTCGTGGCTTTATATATACGATACATGATATCTTTGACCTGCATTTATGCAGAAGAAAAATAAGTAAAGTCGGTACTGAAAGAACATAAGGCATAAAAAATAGTGCAATAGATACATAAGGTAAAACATTGGTTTACAACATATTGCCCCAAGTCAAAGAAGTAGTGCAAAATTCCCTATCAACAAATACGATTTCCTTGAACATCAACATCTAATCCAACATCCTTACCAAAAAAAAACATCTAATCCAACATAATGTCATTATCCACTTGTGTCTAAAATCATAATTGTGAAATGATTAAAAAAGCCCCCTACAACTTACGAGAAACTCTGACTATGACTAAGGAACTAGGATGTCCTGATAGGCATAGAGCAATAGGAAGCTTATTGAACCAAAGTATAAAATGATAATTTAATGGCATGAAGAAACACTTAATCCTACACATAATCTGCTTTTGCTTTCCTAGGCACTCCACCTAACTATGCATTCATCTACCCATGTTGATGCATCTACCTGTCACCAATAAAAGTTTAACTAAAGTGTATGTTTCTGTTTGTAGCATATATCATCAACCTCCAAACACTTAGAGACAGCAACTAGAAAGTATATCTTCAGGCAGGCACACTTTTCCTAGCCTTGAACCCATAAATCTACAGATGATGTAATTAAAAGACATGGGCTGAATGATATGCTTGGAGATTGTTCAAACAAGACAGTTGCCTGCAGTACCTCGTTTTTCATGGTTTTGGATTCCTTCGCTGAAGCCCATGCGCTATTTATCAACAGGATTAATGAGGAGTCAAGCTCCTTTGCCTTGGCAAGGCTTTTAATCTTTTCACACGCCACCTCTATTGAAGGGGAATTGAGTATCTCATCGAATTTGGATTGAGCACTGTCTAAATTCTCCACAGTCTCCAAAGTGTTGTCATAAGCGCTGACCGCAGACAAGCATCTAGCGCCCAGCCTTGCCAATGCTGCTCAAGCAACACGAGCAAATCACTTTTGGGTGCACAATTTGCCATATGCAAGTGAGAGGAGTTTCAAGGCGTATAAAATTCATTAGCTAAATTCACATCAAAACAGAGGTATGACCATGAAGAAATCAAGGTCCTAAACCAGTTATTTAAGACCCTATCTTCTAAAATAGCAAAATGCAAATTAAAATTGCCAAATTTGTGAAAATTACCATCCCGATCTTCCAAGCTATCATACGTTTCCGAAAGTGTAGTGATATAACTAAAGAACTCTCCCGTGAAGTCCTTGCGCCGGCGTGCGACCACGGCGCCGACATCCGTCGGGCTGTCCTGTACCTCCCTAAGCAACTCACTGTGCCTCTCCATCTCATCATCAATCTGCAATAGTTAATCATGCATCAAACAATCAAAACTGCGCCCAATCAAACCTTAATCAAGAACCACTTCAACCATAAAAAAAAAAGAGCTTTAAAAGCTTCCATACCTTCTTGACCTTCCTCGAAAGAGCGATATACCTTTGCTTCAAATTCAAGTCGTCCTCGCCGTCCGCCCGCGAGCGGCAGCGCCTGTAGAAGCTGTCCCTGTACTTGTTCCACTCCTCTCGGAACACCAAGAACTTCCTCCACTCCTTCACCCGGGGCTTCTGGTTCAAGAACACGTCGATGATCCTGTCGCAGAACTGGGCGACGGTGTATCCCTCCGCGACTTCCACCCCCACCTGGTCTTCCTCCGCCTGCGCCGTCGCCGAATTGCTCGCTCCAGGACCTGCAAGGGACCACCTTTCACTCACCCGGTGCAGACGGACGCAAAAACAAGAGCACCCAGAAAAGAAACGCGCCGAAAAAACACGACGAAGAAGTTGCACTTCGAGAATGGATTGCTGCACTAACTCGAGATGGGCCTGCGGCCACGGAGGAGGCTGCAACTGGGTCGGCGGAGACGAGAGGGGAGAGCGCGGAGGAGGAGAGGAGGAGGCGAAGGGGGCATCGATGGAGCAGCAGGGAAGGGAAGACGTGCGGCGGAGACCGATGATTGGAGGTTTCCGACGAGGCTGCTCATCTTTTCCGACAATACAGAGAGCGGGAGAGAGAGAAAGAAGAAGAAGAAGCGATAATTCTGTCGCAAGCGCAACGTCAGCGTGCGGAGCGGGTCGGAGTGGAGGAATCCGGTAAAGGGAATCGGGTTCGGACCCTTTGTTCCCGCGGTGCCTTAAGTGACGGCCCATTGGGAGCCCACAAGGCCTCAATCTTTTGATCCACGATCCATTTCCAATAAGGTCAATATTACGAAAAAAATCCCAAACTAGTACACCTGTAAAACTATTTTTTTAAACACCAAAAGCCTCAAACTAGCGCGCCTATGAAAAATATACCCAAACTAATATTTTGACCATAAAAAATCTCAAACTGATACATTTATGACAAATTTACCCTCCGTTAGTTTTCGTTAAATTATATTAATACCATGAAAAATCACAAACTGGTAAAACTATGACAAATAGAGGGTAAAACCCCAAATCGGTACATCAGTCAAATGCCATGTGTCATCCAACTTAGTAATCTGACGGTAAAGTTTAATGGAAACTAACGGAGGGTAAATTTGATACAGGTGTAGCGATTTAGGGATTTTGGTGGTCAAAAAATTGCATTTGTCACAAGTATACTAATTTGATATTTTTTGTGGTATTAGGCCTTTTCAATAAACCAAAGCTGGCCGGTTCAGTTTGGTTCTCGGATTGAATCGGACCTGTGTCCATCCCTAATCTAAAGTTCATGTAAAAAACTAGCTAGGGTGAAGCTAAAAATATATAAGCAAATGGACCTCACTCTTGAATTTTTTTTTGGAAAATGTACTCATTTTTGGGGAAAAAGAAGCTCAGTGGTTTCGTGCCAATTTAGTTGATCCTGCAGTTCAGGATTTATTAGCTAAATAAAAGATATTTATAACTTTCGATCAGATATATCTAGGAGTTCTCAGATGTTTGATCTGTGTTCTTTTAACATATTGATGTTGGTATTTCTACACGTCAACGATGATGAGGACGTTGAACTTAGACGCATACCGCAAGCCGTTGCAAATGGAGTGGGGGATCTCGACGTGTACTCATCACTGAATATGGTAATCGGCTGCTAAACGTTTATGGTGGCAAATTTGTTTTTGAGGGATGAGAGTATACTTCTAGTTACACACTGTGCTTTGTTATTTGCATTTTAGCATTTGCTTCTTTCGCAATTGTTTGGGATTTGCTAGACTTGTAAGCATTCTATCCACTTCTCGAGTATTATTCTGATGAATGGAATATTTCTTTCGATAAAAAAAAATCAGATATATTAGCTAAATCAGTTTATCTTACAATATTATGGAGATATGTAGTAGAAATGAACGGTTCTTTCTCCATACAAGAATTAGGGCATATCCGTCATTTTATTTTCAAACATAAAGTACGCTTGCATGCATTAACAATACATTTGTGGGGTAAAAAAAAAACATTTGTGGGGTCATCTATTTCTTTTTTTTCTATTTTAAATTTATAAACTAGTTTATGCCTCGAATATTCCAACCACTCTTTTGTAAGAGATGAAAGATATATTCCTCAAGACACATGACCTAATCTACATTATTTGAGCCTTTTATTTTAGTTAATATATAATATTTATGTTTGAATATAATTTGACTATGCATCGTCCACTTCAATTTAAAAGCATGTGTACGACAATCCAAATTGAAGAAATAAACCATGAGCGGCTTGACTAGGTGCACTCCATCAGTTTCATCGACGTATCGAGAAATATCATTTAATTTAAGAAAAATCTACTCACAAAAAATCGTTAGTATAAACGTTTCTTCACCCAAACAGGCATAAGATGAAGATGCATATTCATGTTCATGTTCATTGACCACCCACATGTTTATAAATAGAATTTTATACTGTCAATATCCATTATAAAAAGTCCATCTAAAATGTCTAGATGCCACTTGATCATAAAAGTCCAAACTTCGATAATTATTAATGAATAAAGCAAAAATATCTACTCAATCATCAGCATTCTGACCTTTCCTTATTGGGTTTGCTTTAGAGGGAATCTCCTATGATTTAGCTAATCTTAATGTTTTCCCTAAAATTTGTCTAATAGAAAACGAAGACTATAAGCATCGGTTGACCCAATTGCTCCCGCAGGTTGCACATTTTCCAATTTCTCCATCATCTAGACTACATACTTAAACACTCGAGGCTCCTTTGGTGAACAAGATGTCCATATCCCCAAATGCCCTCCTTCTTTAAATTTTCGTCGAAGATCATGCTTAATATGATATTGACGATAACAAAACTTATTTAAATGATTCTGAAAAATCTCGAACTAATTTCATCTGGAGATTGATGAACAGATGTGTTCAGAACCTTTCATTTTCCAATGGACTTTCCACGACGCTATTACCCATAAACAGATGGACATAACAACTACTGTATTCAAGCTTAACGTTCGCATTTGGAGGACTATAAGAAGACCACATGACGAGCAGAACAACGTCAGTCGATCGATGAGTGCTTGAAATAAGAGAAATTGAAGACTGAGCGTTCATGAGGTCCATCTCTTCCCTGCTGCATGGTAGTTAATTGAGTGTCGATCGCAAGAATTAGCGAGAGTGTAACTTATTTGGACACGCATGAGAGGAGCGCTTGTATTTAGAGTGAAGATATTTGTCCAGGTTAGAGATAAAAGCGTGCGAGGGGCTCTTTGTGAATACTTAAACGTGTGGTTTATAGTTTGGGGAAAGTGAGTCTGCCGTGCTGTGTATACAAGGTGTGAGAACGGTTTTTGAAGGGGGTATGAATTACTTAGTCCATAGGAGGATTGCTTTAGAAGGAGTCGGGTCCTGCTTGGCAACAAGTTCTAACTTACAACGGGACGATATCTGCATATTTCACTAAATTAGTGCATTTCGGCCTATTTGGGCTGCTAGGGTTGGAGAAGAGGAGTGGGCACCCTAAAGCCGAACCTCTATATATAAATCTTGTTTGCAATTTCTTTTTCCCCAAATTATTTAATTCCCACCATTACAATTGCCAGTTCATTTGCGCGTAGAATCAAATTTCAGAATAAGGGGTTAGTTTTACATTTTTAGTTTTCACTTGAACCTTCTCTTGGTATCCTATTTGGACCTAACAAGATTATCTTCAAATATTGAGAGAATGATTATTTGTTCAAAAAGTTAAGCTAATGAGTTATATACCAACTAGGATATACTAATCGGTGTCAGATAAGAGAGTGCGATTTTTCCTCCTAATGGAAGAAAAAATGGCCCATGGCTAGCAACTCTATTTCTAATATGTCACACTGGGGATTTTTGCTTCCAGTGTCTAATCTTTTGCTTTTGCCTTTTAATTCTTAACTAGCTTTGTTAGGTTTTTAAAGCCAGTCAAGAGCTCATCTTACTTATGCTTCGACATTTTGTTATCGAGGTTTTGCATGCACACGTACATGATGTTTCCAATAGCACCGCATGAAAAAGGGAAAAGTTTGCTTGACTTCTATTGTACACTCGGTGTACCGTACAACTTTACAACGCAATTATCGTAATCAAGTGACACGGCCAGAATTATAAGGGAGGGAGGCAAAATGTACACCGCTCTCGACATAAGGTTTAATTAATATCTTTTCCCATCGTTAAGAAAGAAAGCCATCTAGTACGATAAAAGTACTAAAATATTTTATCGAAATAATCTTAGGTAAGTGTGTTTTGAGTTTATTTCAGCATTCCAGGATTTTACATATGAATTCTATGAGATAGCTACAACAAATTGACATAAAATTTTTGTAAAAACATGTGGAGAATTCCTGAGAACATAGATATGATCTGTATATGAAAAATTTAGAAAAATATAATTAATTATTACACGCATATTTTTTTTTCCTTCAGGAGGCACCGTTCTCCAAACCCTAACGTGCCAAAAGGGATAGAGCTTTCTGCGCCTAGACTATTAACAACAGGCCTGAAAGTTAGAAGGTCAGGCATTTCATAGGAAAGATTCTAAACCTCTGACACGGTTTCAACTAATACAAAGTTCTTAAAAAAGAAGAAAAACCTGGTTTGTTTCCATGATGTTGCGTCCAAGGTAACAGACAAGAAGAGGGACGAGGACGAAAGGTTGGTCCGCCCAATCATTTCCCTCCAAAACTCTATAAAATACCCCACAAACTCCCCTCACCCTACTCCAAGAACACACCAAGATTGGTCACTAAATTGCACAATTATTATAAACCTTAGTATAAGGTTATTAATTTGGTACATTCTGATTATTATAATTCTCTCTCCCTCTCTCCCTCATCTTCCTCCCTCCGCTCCTGCAATTCCCACATCCTGAAGTCAAACCCTTCTCATCAACCTCTTCCTCTCTCCATACTCCGGCCATATATTCGATCCCCGTTTTCGCCCGGCAAGACGGTTCAGCCGTTAGAGGTCACGGGCGACGCGTGAACAACCTTTCTGGTGACCTGATCGATCCGTTTTTTTTTTCTCGTCGCCCCTTTCGGATCTGAAATCCTGAGAATTTTGCGAATTCGACCTATCTCTCTAGGAAGTCTGAGCAAGTGCATGATTTGGGTCGTGGTGGAGTTGGTGGATCACGTGGAACTTGATATGGAAAAGTTGTGAAAAGTGAGCTGATCTTGGGTCATGAATCTGATGTTCCAATGGAGTGGTGGCTCATGCTTAGCATAAAAGGATGATGGAGAGGACCGTTTGGGCACTGGGGTTGGTCAATTTTGTTGCCTTTTGCTTCCTTGCAATTGTTCAATCAAGTTCTGCCCAACAAGGTGAGTTAACCTTAGTGTCCCTTCATCTTTTTTATTTTTATTTCCTTGTATAATTTTCAGTTTTATGAGTAATTACTCCTATAGAAAGTATTCATCCACATGGGGAATGCCAATGTTTCTGTACTAGAATAAATGGACTCTTGTTTAGGCGATTCAGTTCAGACAATGTTGATTGCGGTCACATGTCATGCGAAATGTCATTAGGTTAATATTACATTACAAGTGCGCAATTCGAGGTCGATTATACTATAATCTGGTGGATCGCAGGGAAGTTTCTATGAAGAAATTGGCCTTCCCGAATTTTAGTTTTAATTAATCACTGATGATTAGGGATCTGATTATTGGCTCCAACCGGTAAAGGGTTTAAGTCTCTTGCTGCCAGAGTTTACTGTTGAACAAGGATCCAAATAATTTCAATCGGACATAGATCTGCTTGTTTCATTTCCGATTCCAAGCAACTTTAACTCAACAAAATGTCGACGCTTTGTGCAGTTTAGTTTCGGAAAATTTCCTTGAAGTAAAGTTGGTAAGAATGCTTGCGCACTTGATGCAGGTTTTGTGAGCTTAAGCTGCTGCGCAATAGCAAACTCGACGACGGACACGAACGGGATCGTTTGGACGAACGACGACGTTTATTTCCCGGACAGACGTACATGCAGCGAGGGAAATTATATCCGGACCTTCGACATAGTAGGCCGGGGGAAGGTGTGCTACCAATTGACGACGCTCGTGCCTGGCCAGGACTACCTTGTAAGGGCCCATTTCTCCTACGGCCACTCATTGGCGTCGTCTTCATTCGAAGTCCTGATCGGGGTCACCCCGATCGCTCTGGTGAGCTCGGTGTTGAGCTCGGCGAACAAGTCGGCGGTGGAGGGGATCTTCCGGGCGCGGAAAGGCTATGTGGACTTTTGCTTGTGGAAGGAGGAAGGTGATCCATACATTTCACAGCTTGAGCTGAGGCCTTTGAATGATTCAGATTACTTGAATGGAGATTCAAGTACTGTCATGAAGGTGATTAGGAGGGTGAACTTGGGGAGTACTGGAGAAGACATCAGGTATTTTTATTCATACATTCTATCAAATTCGGCCCCAAATCAATCTCCATTGAATCATCCAAGACTTGAGGCTGTCATTCAAATTTATCCAAGACTAAAGTTAAGGGGCATAATAGCAATTACTCAATGAAGAACAATGAATCTCCATGCCATCAATAAGAGATGTGATTAAGAAGCAATGAAATATAAATGAGTGATTTGTGTAGAAGTTACATCGAATGGTTCATATCCTTACATTTTAATTCAAATGACACTATCAATATTTAAGGAAAAAAATTGCACAGGAAGTCCTAAATCTTGTGTATGGAAGATAATCAAGTGCTAAACCTTTAAATTGTTTCAATTAACCTCTAGTCCTTCTCCAAAATAGCAATCAAGTTCCGTCAATGAACAATACCTAAAAATGCATACGTCTCACTTAAAAAGTGCTTATGTGGCAACCTCAAATTCAGCATGATTTTAGAATTTAATTCCATTTTTCGATAAGGTTGATGACTTAATTGAATCAATTGAAAAGTTTAGGATTCGATTACACTTTTTTTTTGTAAAGGTTTATTACTTGATTGAACCAATTGAATGTTAAAGACTCAATTACATTCAGTACATAAAGGTTAAGACTTGGGGTGCAATTTTTCTTGATTTAAGGGTGCATTAACTCAATTTATACCTTGCAGTTAAATAAATCTATACCTTGCAATATTCAATCATTCTCATCTTACTAAATTTCTGCCTACGTTTCGACCCTATATTTCTGAAACAAATCGTAATTTAGTATGTAACATGTCCAGAAACTTGTTAGTATAAATTGCATGTCGTAGAAGATATAAAGTCCACTAAGTGAGGACTTACATTGACTTTAACGTGAGTTCGCTAGTAAGCCCAATCTCAAGGTACAAAATTTGGTAGGGCTTCCTACTTTTTGGTGCACTCGCACCGAATCTATCACATGGTTAATTGACATTAAACCGTACCAAACATTCTAGCAAATGAAAAGTGATGGTTGCCGAAAGATTCATCACAATGAAAAGTTTAAAGTGATTTATTTTCCTTGGTTGAACGTAGAAAACACTAAAGTTGGAGTGAAATTAGAAGTTCTTTATAACCTGGAGGAATATGCTAAAATTGTAGGAGCGTCTAATCTTTACTTATCTAACTAGTTAAAGAGAAAATGCATTCTTTCTATTTATTTATTTATTTCCCTTGTTATATACTATGGCCAACAAGATTTCTCCATGCCATGGTTAACAATGGAGACCTTTTCCATGACAATTCTGATTCGAATAGGTTTAGACAATGTGTAAGAGTATATTTTCAGATAACATGGTAGTGTCTTTGCAATTTTAGGAAAATAAAGATAGCGTCCGTCCAATTTCCCTTTTTAGGGAGATGTTAGGGATTCATATATGTGGTGATAAACATAGTCTTCCAAAGGACAAATATCTATTTTCCAAGTTGAAAATGAAATGGTTCAAATTCCTAAGAAGCTAAGTGGTAAAGCGATTGAAATTTTGCTCCGCAAGAAGCGTGACGTTACTAATTCGGATTTTATCTGACATTAATCTCTTAAAAGTTAGATCACAAGGACACAATCTATTGTGAATGTCTTATCAACATGGATGACTTGTCTTTGACTAATCTCATGAGATATGATTGGCATGATGCCTCAAACGCCACCTGATCGCAATACGAATAAGAAAACCTTATATAAATTCAGTCTTGTAGGAACTATATTTTTTTTGGGATAATTATATTGAAAATCCTAAAACCTGTCACGAAAGTGCAATTGAGTTCTAAAACTTTTAAAAAGTACATTCAAGTTCTAAAACTTTCAAAAAGTGCAAATTGCACCAAATTGACAAGTTTTAAGACTTGATTGCATATTTGTGACACGTTTTAGGACTTGATTGCACTTTTTAAAAGTAGTGAAAGTTTTGGGACTCGATTGCACTTTCGTGACAAATTTCAAAACTTGATTGCACTTTTTGAAAGTTTTTGGAAATCATTGTATTTTCATGACAAGTTTAATGACTTCTAGTTCACTTATCTTGTTTTTTTTTTGGGTCAAATTGTAGGAACTAGTTCCTAGTTTTTGTAGGAACTAATAAACCTGACTAGTTTTGGAGCCAAAACTTCGGCTCCTTATGTCGTGATGTCACTGCACAACTGTGATTTAGTCAAATTCTACGGAAATTTGGTGGAGAATAATTTTGAGTAATCAGCTCTTGTTCATAGTAAATTCCAATTTACATTTCTGTCGTTTCTTATTTCGCGTGGGCGAGTGTTCAAATGCACCACTTTTCTTCTTCTGTTTAATTTTCAGGTACCCTGATGACCCAAGTGACAGAATCTGGAAATCAGAAGCAAACCCGATTGGTGGAATCATCAATGCCACCACAGATTTCCACAACCCCACAAGAGTACCCATCAAAGTCCTTCGGACAGCAATGACCAGTTCAGACAGATTGGTTCTTCTGAGCAATGACCCTGAAATAATACAATACAACTACACAATCTTCCTCTACTTTCTGGAGCTCAACAGCAGCATTGGGGTTGGGCAAAGAGTGTTTGACATATACGTCAACAGTGAGAAGGCACTGAGTGGGTTTGACATACAGGGTCAAGGGTCTATCTACAGTGAAGTTGCCCTGAATGTGACAGCAAGTGGGTCTTTGAACTTGACACTGGCTAAGGTCTCTAATGAGTCCGTTGTATTAGGACCCCTTTGCAATGCCTATGAGATACTGCAAGTGCACTCATGGGTCCAAGAAAGTCCGCAAGGAGATGGTAAGTAATAAGCAGAGTCAGTACTCTACTCCATCTTGACATATTTGTTGACTCTTACAATGATATTTCTGTTCATTGGTTTGGTTTTTGTCTGTTCAGTGGATGCGATGTTGGATGTGAAAAAAGAGCTTTTGCTGAGTAATAGCGAGAGTGAGGTGTTGGCGACTTGGTGGGGCGACCCATGCCTCCCGATTTATTGGCAAGGCCTGGTTTGTGACCACTTTAATGGCTCCTCGGTTGTGACCAGCTCCTTGGTCGTGACCAAGATGTAAGTCTGCTTTTGGCTTCATCAAAAGATGTCTCTCTAGCATGCTTGATGATCTGTTTGATGCTATTTAGTTGCCTCATATATTTCAAGTTGTTCTGGCATTCGAACAGGACACATGAAGCTTCTCCTTTCCCTTACTCTCCTTACTGATACAAACTGTTATATGTGGTGATTTCAGGGCTCTTTCTTCGAAAAACCTCAGTGGCTCGATTCCTTCGAGCATTGCCAAGCTAGTGTACTTGAATGAAGTGTAAGGATCAAGTCCCTCAAATCTTTCTGCTTGTTGTGTTTTCCCGTGATTGCTTTTAAGTATGACATCTTTGTCCAAGTGGTTTAACATTTGCAGTTCTGATTCATTCTAGGAATCTTAGCTACAATCTTTTTACTGGAAAAATTCCACCATTTCCGACATCCTCCTTGTTGAGATCACTGTAAGTTATCTCTTAGGCTTGATATTATTTTCCTTTTCCTCAATAAGTGATTTACTCCTGAACATTTGTGTGCCCTTCGTTGACTGGCTGGTGAAATTTATCTATCAGAGATGTACGTGGAAATGACCTTATGGGTCCGATTCCAGCATCCCTCTTTTCGCTGCCAAATTTGACAACATTGTGAGTCCTTTCGTTCATTTCCATCACGATTTGTTTCTTGTTTGATAAAATTCTGTCTCATTGGAGATCATATTGCCCTCAAGACATTACATGGCAACTCTGATCTTCCAGATATTTTGGCTGCAATCCACATTTTATCAATGCTTCTCCAGCTAGCTTCAACAACCCGAGACTTACCACAGAGTATGACTATTCTTCTCTTTAAGAACTGGCATTTGAAAATATTGATGTTGCAGACAAAAGGATGAAATGGTTCCGATTGTTGGCATGTTTGTACAGTCATGGAAGATGCATAGACGTGGAACCATCTAATTCCAAAAAGGGACTTGTCATTGGCACAGTTGCATGTGGATCTGTCCTTACTATAGCTTTGGGGATCCTTATCTTTTGCCTTTACCGACGAAAGTCTGCGTTCAAGAGATATGATATGAAGAAATACTCAATAAAGAAAAGTGAGTTGCCTTTCTGATTTCCCATTGTACTCATGCATTTGAATACTTAGATTTGGAAGTAGGAAAGAACTTGATTCATTCAATCTAGCAATCATGTGGATTACACTTTCTGGACTAGTTAATTAACTAACTTGTTGAGTTCGACAAACATGTCAATTCAGTCATTTTGGATCAGCTCTTCTTGTCAAGTTGATTGGTTTCTGAATGAGGTTTAACTGAAATTGCAGATGCTGTTTTATCAATACCCAGCACAGAGGATTTTGTGTTGAAATCCATATCCATTCAGACATTTACTTTGCAGTGCGTAGAGGTCGCTACCCAGAAATATAAGACCCTTATAGGTGAAGGAGGCTTTGGATCTGTGTACCGTGGTACTCTGCAAGATGGTCAAGAAGTTGCAGTGAAGGTTAGATCGGCCACCTCAACCCAAGGAACTCGCGAGTTCGAGAATGAGGTAATTTCCTGTGCTTCATCCATCCAAACAGTGCAGGACTGATTGCATCCTCCTATACATTGGAAATAGACTACCATTTTGATATGGATTGCATACAAATCAAACTTCATTAAAAAATTGTTATTGCAGCTAAACCTTCTTTCGGCTATTAGACATGAAAATTTGGTCCCTCTGCTCGGTTTTTCCTGTGAGAATGACCAGCAGATCCTCGTCTATCCTTTCATGTCCAATGGCTCTCTGCAAGATCGCCTTTACGGTACTTCTCTTCGAAACTCTTTCGAACTGGTGACTCATATGCATAACTAACTAGTCAATGGTCTTTCGGACAGGTGAGGCCTCGAAGAGAAAGATCTTGGATTGGCCAACCCGACTTTCTATTGCTCTTGGAGCTGCAAGGGGTGAGAAATTCGGGAGGACCATCTTCTTGTTAAGATTTTTTTTCTCTTGTATTGGTCTTGTGTTTGGCTATCAGAATAAAGAACATGAGCTTATACGTCTAGCATAACTCGCTTTTCTACTTATGATTGGTCCTAGATAGGAGTTTAACATAGACTCAAATCTTCAGTATCTGATTAGACATTGCAAGGATACACCAGTTCTAACTTAAAAATGATTTCCCATGGGTCAAAATTAAGGTTTAATATATATACAACAGCTTGGTTGCCACTAAATGTTCATACAAACCGATCGTTCATCTAAGTATTGCTGGAAACACAGTCAGTATTTTATACCATTGCTGCAATGGCTCCGTACTTTAGAAGCTACAGGAGGAACAACTGCGATTAAGGTTCTACAGACACTTAAAACTCGAATTTAGTAATCCTAAGGCCATGTGGACACTACGCAAGACTTGTAGGCATGACTTTTCTTAACAGTTGCAGTTAAGTCAGTAAAAATGAATGCTTCAAAAATGTGTGAAAAGCTTCTTCACTGATTTCTGATAGGCTACAGAAGTTAATTGCACGTGTGGCCAACCTAACATGCGATCTTCTGGAAGTATAGTGCCTCGACATGCTCTTTCCCGAAGAATTAGATGCGACCACCTGGTGAATGGTATCTGCTACTGTTTAAATATCATCCTATGGAATAACAAAGTGGCAGTATGGCGCCGATGATAATCCCAACAACCAGAACTGGCTCAGAGAATAAAATAGTATCTCATTGCTGATAACGTAGGAAGAGAGTTCCCTGGAAAATGAATGTGTTAACGTACTTTATTCGCGAATCTGTTCACAACCATCGCCTAAAACAGTCGTTTCCTTGTTTCTATTTCCTTCTCAGGTTTGACACATCTCCACACTTTCTCTGGGCGTTGCGTCATCCACAGGGATGTCAAATCGAGCAACATACTCCTGGATCAAAGCATGAACGCCAAGGTAGCAGATTTCGGCTTCTCCAAGTACGCGCCACAAGAAGGGGATAGCGGTGTTTCTCTTGAAGTAAGGGGGACTGCGGGATACCTAGATCCAGAGTAAGCTTTCTTTTTCATTTCATTGTTTGGGTTAGGGTACACTAGTTTTCCATCAACAAAAAGAGTTAGGACTAGTCATGGTCGAATATCTTTGTGGAATTTCCTAGTGTGATCTCGACGGTCTGAAAAAGAAGTTTCAAGCACTGATATGTAGTACATCGTTTATGCATTTTAGGCATCAAGGGGTAATGTCTTTTACAAAAATTGATAGACAGTACGTTGTTGCTTGGATGATTCAGGTACTACTCAACCCAGCATTTATCAGCAAAAAGTGATGTCTTCAGCTTTGGTGTGGTTCTACTCGAAATCATAAGCGGTCGAGAGCCTCTAAACATACACAGGCCGCGCAATGAATGGAGCTTGGTGGAATGGGTATGCTATATCATTTACGATCTTAGTTGCTAGAAACTGTAAAACTTCACTTACTATTTGCAGATTAGCTTCAAAAATCCCTTGTACCTCTGCTATCACCCCCAAAGTATGTACAGTTGTTGCACCAAATCTTTTATTTTGTGGAACAATGAATCAACTAATTGTGGAGCTGACAAAAGTAGAACTAATGTTTAACTTGATTATTCTGTTGGTTGAGTCAACTCATCAGTTGAGATGAGAGTATGCAAATTAAGAAGTTGAGACGTTACAAGTTTCTTTATGTTTATATGCTCTTTTCATAATACTAGACTATCCAACCATTCACTTAGGTCAAATCTCGTATAATCCCCCATTGATTTAGTTAATGACCACAACAGAGTTCATGTGGAAGTTTGATCGTTCTGCTAATAGTTGCAAGTTCGTACTTGAGACAAAGTTAATTAAATTCAAGAAATATTAGGAAAGCAAAAGGCGTTTTTTTTCTTTTTGCTACATGACATGAGGGGGGGAAGTGTCATTTTGGTGGAACTTCTAAAGGGATCCGGTGTGTCTTTTACAATGTATCCAGTGGCCACAATATCGTCAAATTAATCTTATTACTTGCAAATGCATTTTACATTGTCGGTCTGACTAATAATATTTCCTGGCTCTATCAAATTGTCAGTATATCAATGTTGCTTGTACCTCCATAAGAACATGCTAACAGAATCACATTGTCATGCAGGCAAAAACCTACATAAGGGAACAAAAGATTGAGGAAATTGTGGATCCAAACATAAAGGGAATGTACCATGCAGAGGCAATGTGGCGAGTGGTGGAAGTGGCGCTGGCCTGCATTGAGTCCTTCTCGGCTAACCGGCCGAGCATGGCCGACATCGTGCGAGAGCTCGAGGATGCTCTGATCATAGAGAACAATGCCTCCGAATACTTGAAGTCCATCGACAGCTTTGGTGGATCCAACCGGTTCTCAATCATTATTGAGAAAAAGGCTGTTCTGTCCCCCACCCAGGAGCAAGTGGCGGAACCATCGCCTCTTAGTTCACAGCCCTTGGCTCCTCCAGAACCTAGATAGAAATTTCGTAACTGCTTAAAATTTATTCATAACCATGTAGAAGAGGAGCAGATGAAAACTGAAGGGTATGTCTCTCCATGTTCATGTGCAGGGGAGAGTTTGCAAAATAACTCTCTCAAAGTCGAAGAAAGTTCACTTCAAGTACTTTGTAATGGATTAGCTCCATTTCTTGTCAGTCTTTTGGTGTAGCAATGAAGAATTTTTGCTGAAATTGTACTTCTGACCCAATTATCCATTATCCACCAATAAGATGAATGAACATAAACTGAAACGACCTACCTTGAACGAATGTATTATTAGGCTTGTCCTTAATGATGATGTAATAGATCCGTCACTGCGCAAATGATTCATGTTCGAGGAAAAAATTTTCAGGACATCAATTAAGGCTTATTTACACTCTTAATCGTGAGAAGGTTAGTAAGATCTAATTGAACCATATTCCTTATCTTGATGTACTACATTAGTCATACCTGAAACAATTTTTATGGCAATCTGCTTTAAAACTCGACCGTTTGACAGATTCAACTGGTTGATGCTGCTATTTACAAACTAAAACGACCCATACATTACCAGCACATCGTCGTCAAGTCCCAAGCATTCAAATGCTGATACGAGTATTAGCAGTCAACAAAATCCAGCCATTTTTAACAGCAATGGAACTGCAGAAGCAAGTTTGCAAATTTTGCACACTCGCTAAATTCAGTCTAATATATTCGACTATCTTACGATTGAACACTGTATCTTATGTGGAGAGCAACTTTTCATTTAAGTATGTGCTCATCATTGCATGTCATGATAACTGTCAAATGAACCTACACCTACCTAGTGCATTTTTGTCTCCCCTCACTACAGTGAAAAATTGACCAGGGACTCACAACCCATAGCCGACAATACCACTAACATATTGACATTTCAAGAAAGAAGCCATGGCAGCCCATAGAGCATGGCTCACACGATCGCATCCGCATTAGATAGTCCCATTTTCTGGCAGAATGCTTGCTGCACTTCCAACTTATAACTCTATTATACACTTATGGACTGAATACAAGTATCCTTCTTCATGACCAAATCCAATGGGTACATGTTAACCAATCAGCAGAAGATCTAGAGAAAACCATCCCTTATTTTGACTGAAAAACAAATCCAGTTTGGTTTAGCTCAGATGTGCAAGCCATTATAGTTTAAACCGCAATTCGCCATCAAGTCCAATGTGCTAATAGCCAGCTTATTGTCGAATCATATACGTAGAGCTCCAAATTCCTGAAGTGGATACAATAGACAATCAAAAATTACAAACTTCTTGCAAATTCCTTGATCCGAAGCTCAAGGCAGAAGACAAAAGCCAATTCTGGAAAGAGATCAAAAGTTGCAAGTACAGGAAACAAATCAGAAGTGAAATTCAAAAGAAACGAAGCGCCAGTGTAGTCCCATGCACGAGGGGGGCCCTGAGAGTTTGAGGAGAGTACAACTGTTATGGTACCGCTAACACCAAAGTGAGACAAAACACAAATTCTAAGATTGCTTGTAGAAGCAATTTATCCAGCCAAGCAAATTCCTCATTTAGTTTGCACCTTGAAGACAGAAGTTACTCCTTTGAATGATGATGTACCAAATCCTAACAAGCATTCAACTTGAGATGTTGAAAACACACGTCCGTTCAAGAGTAACATCATTCTGCTGTTGTGTCTCTCAAAATTTCGCCAAGGCAATTCATTGACGACCTCATATGAGCGTGAGATGGTTCAGAGTAATTCCATCACAAAAAGGCTATGATTAGTGTCTAGTAAGCACTTCTTTGGCTGTAAAGTGAAAACTTTGCATTAAGTCTGTTCTGTCACCTATTGATAGAACCCAAAACTCATCATGCATAATTTAAGAGAAATGACCACTTTGACAATAATCAGTTTCATCGTCTTAATTTCGAGAACCGATCAAATTCAGTGATTCTTATCTGATGATAGAGTTCCTTGACAACAATTGGAGAAAAATCAGAAAACACATGGATATGACGTGATTGCCTACAAGTGAATTGCTATAAACGAAAAAGATATCAATGAGAACAGATCATACAAATGATGAACAATGTTCAGACAGAGAGAAGCCAGTCTCACAAAATAACATATCAGAGAGTTGCTTAATAAACCAGAACATTACAAATGATTTTACAGCAGTCCTCCATGCTTGCTTCCTACCAATAAGCCACAATCCCCAGTAAGAACTTTTTTACACCCATCAACTCGTATATCAAACTAAAAGCACCAAGCCGGTCCACTACTCTTCGGAGTGGGACACAAGACCCATGAATTTGTTGATAACAGAGAGCTTACAAGATGCCATCAGACCAGCTTTTCAAGGGTTAAAAAGGGCTGGATTGGCTGATGCAGTACCCACTTGGACTTCGAGCAGCTCCAGACGACGCTCCAAGAGATCGAGCTTCTCATTCAACGATGCCAACTTACTCTTGGTCGTGGCTTCTGTCGACGGATGTATAACCCACATTAGAGGAAAATATACAAATTCCAACGCCTGAAGATCTCAAAAAAAAAAGAAAAACCCATCCACATCCTAATCAACCAATCTCCTTCTTTTCTGTTAAACGACAAGCAAGGAAGGCGAACCCAAATCAACGCACATCCATCATGAGCTCAAATAAACAAACAATTCAGACATCACCAATGCAAGAAAGTTGCTGCATTCCTTTGGTGTCAGCTCATGGAATCAACTCCATCAAAGTATAGCGAAGTCTAAAGCAGCTTAAACACTATCCCGCGATCTCTTAATCCACCCCAGACCATGAAACCGAGCATCCAGCTAAAATCAATCATCCACCCAGATCTTCACTCACAGGGCAAAGAATCAAGAACCAGCAAGAACCCAACAAAAAAGAAAGAAAGAAAGAAAGAGGGTTCGAAATTCAAGCAAATAAGAACACCCTTTGAGGCATGGGAACGCGATCCGCACCGAATTGGACGAGGAAGTCGAAGAGGCGGCGGACGTTGAGGGAGATGTGGGAGATGAACTCGCGGTTCTCCCAGTCGGCCTGCACCGCGATGCCCACGTTCACCGCGTTCGTTATGCCTCCCGCTCTCGCCATTGGCTTCGGCGACCGCGACCGCTACCGCAGATCGGAGGAGAGGCTGGAGATCGGCTGGGATTGAGAAGGGAGGGGGGCGAGGGAGTGAAGTTTTCTTCGGTTTTACGACTGAGAGGATGTTCTTGCCTTCAATTTTACGACTCACGAAGCTGATTCGGGGCACAGCTGAAAAGACAGTTACCAAAAGTTTTAAGTCCTAAAAACACAATCGAGTCCTAATATTTATAAAAATTTTCAATCAAGTTTTGATAATCGACTTCTTCCGTCAATTCTGTTCAATTTGACTAACGACAAATACTAAGGTGGATTTATTTAATATTTTCTCTTTATTATGTTATGGTGACGTGGTTAAAACATGAAATATGAAGCTAAATCGACGTCGCTTTGGTTCGAATATGCTTTTTAATATAATTTTATTTAAATTAAATTGAAAAATAACTGAAAAAAGGACGGGGGGTGAGAAACCGGGCGATGAGGGTCACTGACCATTACATTTGTTCATTCATCTCATTTGGTAATCGCTTGTGCCTGTGTTACGAATTTCATTTTCGGTCCGCTTTTCCATGAAATAATGATCACATTTTGCTTATTGAATCTATCCGATCAATTTTAGTTGGAAATTGCTGGCGTGGACGTCGGCCATTTTACGTGACACGACTATACGGTCAATGCCGACGTAGGCAATTTTAATAATATTTTAATATTTTTCAATTTTTTTTATATTTCCCTTTTTTTCTTTTCTATTCTTTTTAGGAAAAAAAAGTAAACAAAGAAAAGAGAAGAAAAAAAAAAGGGAAAAATAAATTTATTTATAAAAATTCGAAAATATATGAAAATATTATTAAAAAGGTCCACATTAGTGCTGGCCCCACGTGGGAGGGTCGATGTCCACGTTAGCGATTTCCAACCAAACTTAGTTGGATGGAATCAATTGGCAAAATATAAAATTGTTTAGGATTCAATCGGTACAATTAAAAAGTTTATGATTGAATTAGTAAAAGTGTAATAGATTTATGACTTTTTGGATAATTTTTCCATCAAGAGGGATAGTTGACTGGATGTGTTGGAAGTTGATTGGGTTGTGGCTAACTTTGGAGGTAAAGATCCGCCATATTCTATTATTCGAACTCTCTGGGAATGCTGGCTTTCATTTATTCTAGTCAACATGCTAGGAATGGTTATTTACAATCTCCTAGTACTACTTCTATTAGTGCTGCTTCAATTGTTTTCACAAATTAAGAGAACCGTACAAAGTTGACTTGATAAATGTCCGAAAGTTGCTCAGCAAGTTTCAATGGATAGATATAGGCTTTTTGTGTTGTAATTGGGGCCTTTTGGCTTTGTCATTTATCAGCTGTAACGAGGTTGCTCTTCCTGCTTCTTTGTTGCCAGTAGAATTTGACTTGACGATAAAATAATAACTATAACGGCATAAAGATATTGGAAGTGCTAAAAGTTTCGTACGGTGCTTAGTTTAGTGCAAAAAGTTCATTTCAGTTCATTTAAGTGCCACTTAAAAAAAACGATTACTCAAATGTCAATTCCGATTTAGGTCATCGAAAATCCGACGTGGACATAATTTATTAATTTCTCATACCGATGTGGCTCGCCGATTTGTCTAGCCAGCATATAACCCTTAAACAACGCCGTCTAGAAGGTTTGTCCCAAAAAAAATCCTAAATTGCGAAGTTGAAGCAAATTTCCAAATTTGAAACCCCAACGAACATTCAACCGAAAACCAAAACCCTAATTTGATTTGCCCCCAAAATTAATAGCTTAATCTTACAAATGGAGAGCAGGAGCTTCATGAACGTCTCAAATTCGTTTCAATGAAGGGAAGAAAAAGCTTAATATTACTGTTATTGTGGGCTACCGAGTCCAAAATATCAATTCCAAGAAGAACATCTTGGACTCGGTTGAATCTTAGGAGAAGATTTCATGGATACGCCAAGTATAGAAAAGGCCCAAAGTGCAAATATTTCAAATGGTCCATGCGAATTCTTAGGTCGAGCGATAGAGGTGATCTTGGAGCTTCTTGGAGGATGACATCAATCTCCACCTATATTAACAAACAAGTTGAATAATATAATGTAAGCAGAAATAAAGGCTTTAGTATATCTGGCCAACCATTTGGAGAATGAAGTTTCAAAGATGAAAAGTGAAAGAAAATGTTATTAAGCGTAGATTGTATTGTTGTTATCTTGTTTGGCCTATTTTATGCTCAAATGTGAAATAATGAGAAGAAATTTCTCAGTCTACCATAATTGAAGATCAGTGAAATATGTAATTGTATTGGGGTAATTTTTAAATTTAGTTGTGTTGCTGGTTTGCTGCAATTTTTTGTGGAAATGTTGGTTTGTTACACACTCATATGCTTTTTGTGGAAATGGCATTGCAATTCAGTTAAGCATGGGTTATTTACCATGTGATCCCATGAGCTTTATTGCTACAATTTTCAGTCTTTTGGTGGCAATGGGATTGGAATTCAGTCTTTGTGAAAATAACGATTTCTCTTGCTTAGTTGTGTATTCTCAATCTTGTGCTAGTTTGCTGCAATTGTTTCTAGAAATGTTGGTTTGCGGGTTTGTTGCAATTTTTGCTACAAATGTTGGTCAAGTTAACGAATGGTAACAAGTTCATGAGTAATTATTTGAGTGCAAAAAGTTGTAAATAGTGAACATTGAGTACCAAATTTTGTTGAAAGTTATCACTTTAGTGCCAGTTATTGTTAAAAAGTGATCATTCGTGCTATACAAGTTTTTAAAAATTGATATGTTGGTATCACCATATGAGGACCATATGCTTGCTAACACACTTGGATATACACGTGCTAGTGTGTCTTGGATATACATAAGGACAATTTTTGTTAAAAGTGCTGGTGCAGTCTTGCGCTTGCAACCGTTGCAAAAATAAGTGATGGTGTAAGCACAAAACTGTACGAAGTTGCTGGTGCAAGCACAAACCAGCAAGACCAATTGGCTGGTCCAGTCTTTGCTTGCATTAGTTGCAAAAAGAAGTGCAACACAAGCATAAAACTGCATCAGCTGACTGGTGCAAGCGCAAATCAACACATACAAGTGCTGGTGTAGCCTTGTGCTTGCATTAGCTGCAAAAAGAAGTGCAGCACAAGCATAAAACTGCACCAGCTAGCTGGTGCCAGCACAAACCAACATAACCAAGCCAAAATCAAGACAAAAAAATGGAACTAGTAAAAGGATAGACAAAATAAACATCTTTTCCATTGACATTCGACTGCTTCTTTACATTTAGTCAATCTAAATAATTAAACAAAAACATCTAGCTTCCCCTCCCACCAAACAATGTCAACCAAACATCTCAAAACCAAATAATATCAACCCCCATCAATCAAGGTTCTCCTTCCACCAAACATCTTAAAACCAACCCAAACAAAATCATGTGCAGAAACCCAACAGTCAATATCAATCCCTTTAAGTTTCTATTCGAACAAAAAAATAAATATTATATCCAACACCCTCCTATCAGTTAATATGCAAAACCCCCCAATTCCTGTTTCTTTTGATGGACTTTTGGCTCGATTCATAATCTTTTTACTTTTTCTAACCGGATCTGGATGTGCAGGTTATTGTATTAGCCTTCTTGTCTTATGTATTTTCTTTTTAGCGGTTCCCTAGGAGAATGTAAAGTCATTTGATAGAAGCTCTCCATAAATGATATTGGCTTTGTGGTAGTAATGTTGGTGGCTGTTTTGGAGCTGCTAGCATTTCATTGAGATGAAACTGGTGCTGAGTTCTTTGTTGGTGGTTGTTTTAGAGCTGCACCCAATGTTATTTTCTTTAAAGCACTCTTCTTTGGAGCTACCCTTCTTGTTTTTGGACGTGTTGCTTGTGTCGTCCATTTTGGAGCATTATTTGATTGATCTTTATTGGATTGTGCTCCCTTGACCTTGATTGGGTTCTTATTTTGGGTGCAACCCTTGACTCTTGATTTGGGCCACCTTAAGAGATGCGCACCTCTAAACTTCTCACAGGCTACAACAATATAACTATATTGTCAACAAAGTCAGATACCATAAATTAAATGCACAAGACCGACAAAACTTACATTCAAAATAGCCATTACAGTATTCAAGTCTATATAAAGGCCATAACGATATTGCTTTATCCTTTTGCCAAGAGACCCTTGTGGTGCCTTACTTTCAAAAATTTGAGTAGCCTATGCAGTTGGTCTTTTTATCACTTGAGAAAGACATAACAAAGTTAATTTTTGTTAAGATCGGCTCATAAAACAACACAAAGATAAATTGTACAACTTACAAGATATTTTCTCCTCGTATGTGCAACAGTTGAATCAAGGGATGGTCGTGCACCTAGGGCTACAACAGGCCCTTTAGCTAGGCCTTGAGTTGGCTATGCACTTGGTCCTACATCAACCCATACATATGACCGTTGTTATTGATATTGCTTCTTCAATTCACAACCATTCTTATTGTGCCCTTCCTTACGGCAATATGTGCACTTCATCTTTGCACCAGTCCTACATCCTCTTACTTGTAATCTCCCCCTCCTACATTCTCCGTTTCCTTTTTGGCCTTCCTACTTGCTTCTTTAGTGGCAAAGGGTGAAGGACTTCATAGTTTGTTGGCTCCCAGAATTTGTTACTTCTAATGGGCTGCAACATGAACAGGTACGAAGCAAGATATGTACTTCTCTTATACTAATCGTGTTGGTAATCCTTTGGATTTTGTTGCTTCAATTAGATGGCACAAATGGCATGTGCACAAATAATTCCAGTTAGTTATTAGGCTCGACATGAACACTTTCTTCTCTCTAGTTGGACGACATACTTATTAGTATTGTGCATGATCTCATATCCATTATCTCCATTTCAAATAGGATGACATAATCTATTAGCAGCCATGTTCTCATCAAATCTCTTCGCAATCCTAAGACCACACTCTCTAGTCCACTTTGCAGCCTCATCTCTCTTTCTTTGCAATTTAGTCATGACAATAACTCTTATATTTTCAAGCATGCTGATGATTGGTTTGCACCTGACCTTTACGATTCTGCCAAATGCTTCACTGAGGTTGTTGTTAATAATATCGCACTTAAATTCTTCACTAAAGAAGGCC